ATCTTTAATCTAAATGCTCAATTAAATCACAATGAGCGTTTTAGCCCTTATCTTTATAATGCAAAATTGTGGGCGTTTCATTGGCATTCAAATAATTATGTAGATATATGCAGAAGATGATACATATACATATTTTGCATTTATGCTACTCATGATGGCGTTTATCATCCCATCCTCTTCTCTTAATACAGTAATAAACGTTGATGTGTAAGGTAATTTAATTTTAATATATTCTATAATAATAATTAATAATAATAATGGAAGAACGCATTAAATTATGTATTATCGAATAATTTAAATTTTCATATAATTGTGCATTTTCTTGTGCATCATCTTAGTATAAAATGACTTCTGTAAGAATATAAATTTTGAGAATAAATTAGTTATATGAATTCAATATATGCATATACAGGGTATTAAAAAAAACCTTACTTAAAAAATTATTACTTAATATATCTCTCTATGTATCACATAGACACATGCGAAGATTTAACTCAGTGTTTACAAACCGCATTATAAATGTTCTTATTCAATTTCCATACATACTTTAGTGTAAAATTTCTCCGGGAATAAATAAGTTGTCATCAATCGGCGATTACAATTGGATAGGAATTATGAAGGATCATCTCATTGGACCTGTAATTCTTTCAAATAAACTATTATCAGATGCTACTTATCTATTTTTCCTCGTCGTATGCCATAAGTCAGTTATGATACAAGCATACAAAGTTGTTTATATATCAGAACCGGTTGATTCTGTGATCTATGTTCACTTAGATTTTTTAATTGTATGGTGTGGATATACTATCTACCATATAAATGCTGAATAATTTTTCTAACACCCTGTATACATAAATTGTTCATGCCATTATCTTATCAGTGTATTAAAAATATGGAAAATACATGTAAATCGACAGATATGCCGCTATCGGATACATTTTATAAATCGATAAAGGAATTACCTCTATAGTAGGTCACGCGCACAAGACGAGGAAGGCATGTAAGAGGGATGTGAATTAAATGGAGATACGTTAGAGAGAGGATTTCTAATTAGACCAACTGTCCCTTTAAGTGAGATTTACTGTGAATACTATGTATTAATTGACTGCTACCAATGCTGATTAAATGAATTGTTTGGCAATTCGCTATTGTCGAAGGATTGCCTTTGACGGAAATGATAAGGCGCATGTATGCTACATTCCACATATGTGTCCTTGTGATACTATATTTTTACTCGCAGATCATTCAATTATTCGTGTTATAACCGGACACGATGGTAATTTCATCGAAATGTAAATACAATTAAACATTAAACATGGACATTCGTCTCTTCATTGATAGCGTACAATTAAATTTACAAGAACGATAGCATATCGCTTCACTTTCGAAAGCACAGAACGGTGTTATCGGTTATTTGATATTAAATAGATAGAGAATTTATGTTTTCATTTGATATTCAATATTGCACGTGCCACATTTATTGCAAATTATAGAATTTTGATGAAAAATTGAAATACATTGTAATAGTCGAAATTTAATTATATTTTATATAAGTCTTTACAAACTAATTCGTAAAGATATGAGAAGAGAAAGTGGAGTATATCAATTCTGTTTTTCTGAGCAGTGACAGTGGAATCATTTTCTCATTTTTTTTTCAAGAAAATAATTTTTCAAGATATATATTTCACCTTTTCTTAAGAAAAAAAAATAATTCCAGAAACAGTTCCACGCACACGATATTCAAATTTCAGTATTCGATATCTCTCTCGTAGCAACTAAATTAAAATCTTGTTAAAATAATGTCCTCACCAAATGCAATAAATGTGCCAACAATTGATAGCGATAAATAGGATCCTATTATTAATTTGCACTTGATTGGGGTTTAATTTGTAAAAGATTATTCATACTCAACCATTTGTAGCATAAAAGTCGTGATACATATAGTGGGGAGAATTTCTGGCTGAAAATGAGCGAACCGATAAATTCTGATCATATTAATCAGAATTCCGGTCATCATAATTGGACATCTTGTTATCTTGACTAGAATTCTGATTGATATGATCAGAATCTACTGGTTGATTCATTTTTAATTAGAAATTATTTTCAATGTATCTCTCAGTGCCAATCAATAAAAGTTGATTCCAAACTTCACAAAGAATAATAATACTATGCGACCATTGAATTTTTAGAGCTTTTTGAAATGTTAAATCTTCAAATAGTGTAAGAAAATTTATTGAAATGTAACTAAATCTTAGTCATCTGATCAAAATTCTAAAGCATCTGGAAGCTCAAAAGTTCAACGAATAGAGAAAACCTACAGAAAGAATAAACGGGAGCGAGTCGAAGAGATGAATACGATGAAACTGATTTTCGAGGCAACGCGCGTTTTCACGCGCAATATCCTTGACTCCACAAGCGGTTGCCAAAGTAGCCGTATAATGAAAAGTGGCTGAGGTGCCTTCGACGATTCTTTTTTTCCTCGTTTACGCAGTCGTACGCAGATGGAAATTACTTTCCAGCCAAAGTTAATTTCATAAAAAGCGAAAAGATACACGGGTAAAACGATCTCTTATGATTAGTCTTTTTTTTCTTTTTCTTTTGGCGCCGCAAAATACAGTAATCCTAAAGATTCATTCTTGAAAATTTAAAATACTTAATATCGTGAAAATTATCTCGATATTTTTGTACAATAAATTTTGAAATACAAACATATTTAAATAGATACATGACAGATTTTTATAATTGTACTTAGATATTATATTTCAATTTGTTAAAAATATGGATAAAAATTATATATAATTATTTTAAAGCATATAATCTACGTATTTTTTTTTGCATTTACGTAATTTTTGTTGATTTTATTTTGAAAATCAGTAAATAATATATTCGATGCTATTATTTGAAATAAAGAATTTAACTACCTTGTTAACTAAATAATTTAATTTTGCTATTTTTCAATCTAAACATTAAATAACTTTTGCTCTCAATTAATGAGTTATAAAAATTTTTGCAATATAGACAGATATAAATATTATGCATTTGTAAATAATCACTAAAGCTTTTATAAAATCGTGTACTTTTTTCAATTCTTTTTCTTATAATATCTTAAAAAATCTTATAATATCTTAAAAAAATCTATTTTTATATAAGCTCATGTAACAATATATTGGGTAATGAAATATTAACTTAGCCATCTGTAAAATATTACTTTTTTTATCAATAAGTTAATAATAACTATAGAACAATTTCATAAATAACGGCAGAGATTTTTTAAAATTTATAAAATAAAAGTGATCTATTTGTGGTCAACCGCATCGCGTATCTCTTCATTGCAAAAACGAATTCCTATTTACTTTCCGAGCAACGAGATGAGAACCGTGTGATGATGGGCGGTTGAATTTGAAACGGAAATGTGTGTAACAAGAGTGATCCATCGATCCCGGTTGCAGATTGAGGACCGGATAGAGCCGAGTCTCTGAACCAAGTATGAAGGACTTATGTATGTACATTGAGATATACAGACATGAAAGGAAATTGAATAGTGCTTTCACTTGGCACATAGGGAGGTAAAGCCAGAGCTCTGTCATCGTTTACAGATCGACCATTTGGTTAAAGGGCCAATCTAGTCGATCGAAGCAACCACGTGCGCACGATGTCGCATTTATATCGATTTGAAACCGCATATCGCGTAACCGATATGTCGGTGCATGCGATTGGACCCGTTTGTCATACTAAGCAATGACCGTAAATTATGTTGTGCGTATATCTACACTATATCGACACTTCGAATCAAACAGCGCATAAATATTTTATATCTTGCTACATTTCTAATTGACTAAATTCTTTTATATTTGCTATTCAAATTGAAATTTACTCTCTGAAATCTTTGGCGTGGTATCTAACTCTAAAGAGTGAAAAAAAGTGGTTTAATTGTTCATTTTTAAGAGTAAGATTTCACTTTTAGAGTTAGATTCTACTCCAAAGATTTTAAAGAATAAAATTATAAAATGACAAATTTATTTGAAATAGAATATTAATTTTTATTATATAAAATTCTGCTTTTTACAAATTATATTATCAAGGATTAATTTTTAGATTATGTTTGACAAAAAATTTAATCTAATAAGATTAAGAAAATAGTAAATCGTAGTGAATTACTTAAAAGCATGTAAAACAACATTTTTAAGAAAATTTCTTAAGATATACTGTTATTGAAAATATTCTTATTTGTTAAATAATATTTGTTAGAATATGTGAACAATTTTTTCAATATAGATATTCTATATATGAGAATTATATAATTATTAAGATTATTCAAGATATATAGAATAATATATGGGTGTCATTAAATACGATATTACATTTGTATTTGATAGTATATTATTATTACTGTAAAATATAATAATGTAATATATATTTTTATGCTACAAGCCGCAAAAATCAATATAGATGGAAAGAAGGGACAATAGTAATATAAATTGTACTTAATAATAGTTAAGTATACTTATATGCAGTTGATAATAGAAAATTTTCTTATCAATTTGCGATATACTTGTAATAGAGAGAGCAAGTACAATATATTATAAACCGCATTATTTTTAAATAGTTCATTTTTAATGAAAGAGTATTTAACAAGTAAATTATAAAAATTGTTTTATGCGACCGAAAGGAATGTGGCCAACTTTAATAATATTAAAATGTCAGGTCATAAAAATTAAATCATTATAGTTACAATATTTGAAATATTTGGTTCTATAAAATTTAATCATTCGAATTTTGAGAATAAAATTTTCTATTCGCAATTAAATTATACATTTATGACGTATTATGACATATTAATTATATTATTTTATTCAATCATTTCAACAGCATGAGCGTATTGTAATATTATTGTAGATACAATTTTCTTTTAATCTTTCGAATATTATTTTGTATAATTGTTGATAATTTATTGCATTGCTGTTCTTTCAAAAAGTGCATTTTTGCTTTGCGTGTTGCAGAAAACAACATGTCCGCTACGGAATCGTGCGACGATGATGCGAGCCCGACACGTCGGCCGAGGTAAGAAAGTTTTAACATAATTACGTATTACACGTTAATTATATCTATGCTTTTAAAAAAACTGAAATAGTTTTGTATTTCGTTTTGTATTTCGTTCACGAGAAAGTGAAAAGCATAGTTTAATTCGTTTTACCGTCTCTTTCTCCATTTTGAATTCGGCTTGTGCCACGATAATGAGAGAGCCATAAATTTCGTGGAAAGTATAACTTTTCCGGGCACGTCAGTAATTAATTTAGTGTAAACGCAGCGGGATATTTAATCAGATGGCGAGTTAGCGGTTCGTCTCCTTCTCTCTCTTTCCTTCTCCTAATTAAATAACAACTTGCCATGCATTAATTGTAATAATACGATTGTCCGAGCTTGGTGCGCGAGAACCGCGAGTTGTTACGAGCGTGTGGATGATGTATAGGATATACTTTCACTGAAGATACAGACTTCGCAATGGTCATTGTGCGGTAATGAAATGCCGCATTATATTATATCACCAGGAAAATGTGTCGCGGTTATAACATTTCCGCTGAATCGATCCAACCTAGAAAGAGCAATTAAAATATCCATGTACAGCTTACGTGATTGTATGTGTTTTATATATAATATATATATAATATAATACAATATATATTTTATATATATATATATATATATATATGTGTATATTTGTTCATGGCTGGCAACTTCATAAACGTAACGCATTACTTAGAAATTCATTACATTTTGTTATTTTTTTATAAAATAAAATATTAGAAAATTAAAAAATTGCATTATTTAATTAATAATATTAATTGTAAAATCGATATTAAAAACTTAAAATATTTTTTTATTATTTTATTTTTAAATTTGTTTTTAAAATTAGAATGCAGTAAAACCGGCAAACCTGTCTGTAACTGACCATAAGCTAACTTAATCTTTATATAGTGTTGCGTTATTGTGTCAAATAACTCTATCAGAACTGAAGGCTGTATTTATGGGAAAATCCTCCAAGAAAAACTATCGCATTACATGTTTGTGTTTTGTCCAACATCATGAAATATGCATATAAATCAACAAAAAACCTTTTACATTGATGTAAAAGGATTCTAGAAATTCTCATATACATTTATTTATAAATATTTTGTATAGATGATTTTTGTGAAAGAAAAAAAAATAGGAGTATATATTACTGTCGCTATATCAGTTTTGGAGCCCATTTTGTCAGACTCTTATTTTTGCTTATCTTACGAAAAAATTAATAATTGCAAAATTGCAAACAGTATTATAAAAATTGCTATATCATCTGATAGAAGACATTTTTTAATTTGTATTTATGTTTCTAAAGTTTCATTTTTGTATTTATGTTTCTATAGTTTCACTTTTGTTTAAGAAATACGATCCAAAAATGAAGTCGTATAATGGTATTAGCGATTTTTACTATTTCTACTGCATGGATGTTTACTGTCTACCTATTTGTGTGAGAGATATAAATACAATAAACTTTGTAACTGAAAAATTAATGTAAGTCATCTTTCTGGAAAGAATAATACAATATATGTTATAATGTTTGAAATTTTATTAGCCTATCAAGGTCTATGATTAATAAATAATTTGTTTTTAATAATCAACTACAAAATTGATTCTTATAATGTGCTTTTTATGTTAAAAATGCTTTTTCATATTCCGAGCCTATTTCCATTTGTTTTTTTTTTATTAACTTTGGTGACATAGTCATGTACGGGTTAATCTCTGAGAAATTATCACTTCATTTCTTACAAAGGTATAATTGTCCGGCATAATTTATTACTGCCTATGTAACTTATTTATATTCTTTTTTCTTTTTACAAATAAATTTAAAATATAAAAGAATGTGCAATTGTTTATAATCTTATTGAATATAGTAAATTATGAGAACTTAATAATTTCTGACTCGAGACTATGCACTATGCAGTGTTTCCCGCGTTAACAATATGCTTGAAGTCAATAGTAAAGCTTTGATCGAACCTGACGTATTAGCTTCTGTGCCACAGCTTTTGCTAATCCGGACTCATGGACGGAGTTTGCAGTTGACCCGAATCCTCTTGCGGAAGCAAAAAGAAAGCTAAAGTTGAAAACGAAAATGGAAACAAAACCGGAAAAAGAATGGAGAAATCATTTCGAGGAATATCTGCTTCAATTTCACGAAAAAATTTACTCGAAGTATGGTGAATTATTTATTTTTAAAAACCATGTATAATAAATAATAATGGTAAATTTCATTGTTGCAAAAAGATATTTTAACAAGTCTGTTTAATGAATAATACGAAGTATGAGATAAGATGTTTACAATATAATAGTTATAGCATCATTATTTCATCGCGTATAACTTTAACGTTTGGTGATTAAAGCACTTAATGATGAGATCAACATTTGATTGAATCTCTTTTAATGGCAATTCTTACGATCATTAATTACAACACATAAATTGCAGCAATTGCGAGTGTCGATGTGGATACAGTTGTTCATAAAAGAAATACTTGTTCATAAAATAATTTTTTGATTTAAGAGTTAATTTTTTACTTACTATAATATTACGATATTCACATTTAGGATTTTAATATCTCTTTTAAAATATTTTGTCCTATATACTTCAATAACAAAAACATTAATATATAAGAATATATAAATATAATATATAATAACAATATATAAATAAATATAACTATATATTAATATTGTACTTGAGAAAATATTTATTGACAATTAGAAGTTCTTAATGAGATGATTATCACAGAAACAATAAAATAAAGAGGATGATTAATGTTTATTGTTTGCGTACTTTATTACAATATCTTAATTACATTATTTTAATTATTTTCATGTTATAAATGCAAAAACGTAGGCATGTATAATATTTACAAGAAGTTTTTAATCATTGCGCCGATCGTAACCGAAAAACTCGAGAGAAATAATTTGCGCTGGTCATCCCAGAAATTGGTTTTCATTACTCTTATATAATAATAACACCAACAATTAGCGTGTTTACATCATACATTACTCATGAACGATATAAAAGTACGTACATATATCTTTTTGCACGAAAACAGATGATGCATTTTTCAATAATATTATATTCGATTTTATGTAATCCTATCTGTTATAATATAATGTTTAAATAAATAAAAATAAAATAAATGTATGATAACAAGACAACTGAGAACTTTTAAAATTAAAAACGTATAGAAATTGATAGAATAAGATAAGTTTTATTGTTTGATATAATTAGTTACTGAAATCGTAATAGATTTGATTTACACGATTTGAGACACCGAACATAAAGTTATCTAGTACTTTCAAACTATGAAATTTAGAGCCATATGTCTACAGATTATTTTATTTACATTTACTTTATTATTTTATGTAAATCTTGTTTATATATATTGATAAAAATTTTTTTGTTTTTCCAAAATATTAGTCTTTATAAAAAATGAACATGTGAACATGTTAATTTTGCACGAAATCTGCACATGTCCTTTCTAATCACTAGAGCACAGCTGATAATTTTGCATGAAATTTGAACATGCCCTTTTCAGTCACTAGGGCGCAGCTAATGATAACATATTAGCAATAGACATGCATAAATATGTGTTGCTACGCGATTCTACTACTATCCCCACTTATGCTACGCATATGTATCTTGCGCATATGGAAGGGATTTTGTGTAATGTGCGCTATTTCGAGATTCGCTATTACGAAGTTTCAGTGTGAATGCAGAAACGTAGAAGTGTATAACATTGAGAGCTTTTGATCAGGAAAAACAATTTGCGTTGGTTATTCCAAACATTGGTTTTAATTATTTTTATATAACAACAGTAATTAGCGTCAATTATGCGTTTACAAATAATTGTAGCAAAAAATGAAATATTGTGACTAACAAGCTTCATATGATATTATATTGTTTTAACAGTTTTAATGTGCACGATAAACATATGATATAAAAGTATATATATTTTTTTATACGAAAACGAAATGATGCATTTTTCAACACTTTATTATTTTTGATTTTTCCCTATCTTATCTAATATGTATATTCTATAACATCTATAAATAACTATAAATAAATTAATGACAAGACGTCCTCTAAAAAATGTAAGAAACTAATAGAATAAGACAATTGGTAGCATTTAATATGATTATAATTATATGTTATATATTTTACTTTGAATTAATTACGGCTACGTTTAAGTATGTTTAAACATTAAATTACTAATTAATTTATTTCCTTATGTTTTATATTATCTTCAATAATTTTCAAATATATTATAAAATCAAGAATAAAATGACCAAAGATAATTTAAGAATAATTTATTTTATATTTTAGGGAGAGCAGAATTCATAGCGTTGGTTTGCCAACCAAAACTTCTCTGCTTCCGGAACCACCACGCACCGGAAATGACGTACCGCCGCCAATACCACGCCGACATTCTGCCACACCGGCGGTAATAAATTTTATTTGTTTCTAGCTATCTTTAGTTTAGTGAAGTGAAGTCTTTAGTCTTAGTGTTTAGGCGCGATTTATAGATATAATATTTTCACACATATTTTGTTTTGAATCATAGTTTGAGATTAGTCTTATCTAACAAATCTTGACACATTTCACAAATAATACATTTCATTCAACACATTGCGCAATTTAGTAAAGCAAATCGTAACGACATAAAATGTGATAAAAAAAATATATAATTTTGATAAAACTATATTAAAAATTATTACACAAGATTTGTTTCTCTTATTTATTGTTATATTAACATAATGATATTTTATATATATATTAGTTGCAATATTGTATATTTATTGGACAATTGAGAGACATTAAAGAGAAAGTTACTAGAATGATTTAGGGGGAAAAGTAGAGTTGGCGAGGTGGGAGATACTAAAAGGATTTTCGAACTTTGTATCTCCTCCTACGCAGGTATAAGTTTGGAAAGTTACCGCATGGTTGGTATCCCAGCGTACCACATAATCTCAACACCTTAAATCACGCGACTAAAGCCCGGTAGTTAGTGGTACGCCGCTACTTTGCGAATTAATATCAGCGGATGAGAAAACTGTCTGACAAAATTGGAATCCTGTGCCAAAAAGGCTTTTATGAAGAGAAAGATGATTGAACAAACACATAAAATGTATTTTTTGCAACTATTAATCATGCTATAATAATACGTTCATCATTATGTCTGCAAAAAATATGCATATTATTGCCCAATGAATATCAAATATAAGTATAAATAATATACAGACTATTTGTGTGTGTAAACATATATATTTCACTTTTTTAAATTTCATTGTGAAAACTTTATAAAACTTTATAAAAATTTTAGATTTATTAAATAAAAGATTAAAAATTGTATTATAGATTTATAGGATATTATGCGTATGAAAAACTTTAGATTAATCTGATATAATTTAAATTTATCTAAAACTTGTTGTTTAAGCTAAATTTAGGCTTTCCTGATTTGGCAGAAAAGAAAAATCTACAAATTGCAATTCAGCGTTGCGATAGATACATAACATCTTCAACACACACTGGACACACATTGGACACACACAACATGGCATATACTAACGTTGCAAGTATTAATTAGTATTTTCGTAAACTTTAAGTACTTTTGCTGTTTGATTTTAATGTAATTTAACAGAAATAAACAATTTCATTTTATAAAATCTGTCATATAAATTATCATACGTAGACATAAATTTATTCATTATTTATACTCTTAGATTTACGTTTTAATTTAAACCTTCTTCGTAATCCTACATCTTAATAATTTAATTAAATAATAAATGTTGCTGTATATTTGGCTGCTTTGCATGGAAATTTGTAATGTAAGAAATATTTTTAAGTATTTGTATATTAGATGTACATTATATATAATTACGTAATTACTGGGTTTATTATTAAAAATTAAAACTTATTTAATATATAGAATTTCACGTTAGTTAATATCAGTTTTTATCGATAAATTCGGGAATTATAATGATACTCAAAATGTCGAGCTGTTGAAAGGATTTTGCTAAAGTCATTAAAAGTACTCGAGGTATTAAAGTGTGATTCACGCGAAGAGAGAGTTTATCGACGATAAATGCTTGAAGCTAATGAACTTGCGTGTTGCTTTACTTTTGTCAACAAGGCAGTTAAACTTGATGCTTGTCTTCGAACGATGATAAGCGTTGTAACTTTGCACGTAACTTTCACGTCAATTTACGCAAATCACGTAGCTGGTTGCCAGTGAAAATTCTCATTTCGAAATGATGTTTCCACATTAAATTAATTTTTGTCTAGTTGAAGAAAATATAAAACTTTTTTTCAAAAAAGCAAAAATTCAAAAATTATTTATTCAAAAATTGTATTGAAAATAATGCAAAAATTAGAATAAGAATAAACCAGTTGCAGGAAATTTAAATTTGACAGAACAATAATTTAACTATTAATTTTCAAATATATATTTTATTAAATTTATACTACTCGATACCGATAAGTGAGACTGATATAATTCTCGATATTTAGCTTTCTATCGAATAACGAGACCTTAAAAATTCTTTTTATGCAGCTTACAATTAGAGTAAAAGCATAGAGATAAAAATCGTGCTTTACTCTTGGCGTAGGTAGCACCACCCCCGATTCCACTGAGGCCGCCGGCAATTCCAAAGAGAAGCAAGAACGAAAAACCTATACCGCTGCAACTCACAACCAGGCAGAGTAATCAAGTGACTCCTTGCAAGACGAGTGATCCTTCGTCCACACCTTCATCAGGAATGTCGGCTGCATGGAACAGCGTTGACTCAAATCAAAAACTTATAGATTTAGGTTCTTTCAGAAATCATAATCAAGCGTCACAGGTATAGTAACTATCTTATATCATTTTTAGCGAAATCCTTTTAAAACTATTGTAATAAACTCGAAATAATATAATTACTAATCTCTTCCTATTATTAAGCTTAAATCAAATTATGAAATGCAAAATGGCATCTTTATACTTATGCAATTATTAAAAATATATTTTTCTAATAATATGAATATTAGATCGAAAAAGATTAGATATTATCTACATTCTAAAAATAATTCACTTATTAATAAAAGAATTAAATTAAATGAACAACTAAATGTCTTGTATCTTTCTTTTTCTTGAGTGACACCAAAGTTAATGTCTGTTGATGCCTTAAACACAAATTAATCGATTCAAAACACATTTAAAAAATTATTATTTTATTCAGGATGTAGTTTATTTATATGAATTTTCGATGAGTTGCAGGATTACTTGGCGAATTATAGCGGGAAGGATTCGCAGGAAACGAAAGAGCATAACGATTTTGTGGCTGATTTCGAACAAGCGCATTTCCAGGAAGAACATAAGCTTACTCAAAATTCAAGCTTCGAGGAGTTGCAAAAGGTCTCCTTGGATCTTGAAAAACGACTTCATGAGAGAATTATTAAGAGCGCCGAGGCGAAGTTCGAGGATCCGAATAGCCGTCAACGACAGTTGGGCACGATGTCACGACACAATAGGTAATAAACATATATCATTTATATGCGATTCTATATTTTTTAAATCTTTTTCGAGGAAACGATTGAGTATACTGCGTATTTTTATGCAAATTTGTCACTGCCATCACGCTTAGCGCCAAGTACTTATTTTAGTCCGTTAAAAATACTCGAATGCAGAATTTTGTCATGCATTGCTGTATTCGGATACAAGTTGGTAATATGTTATTTCGAACTGACCTGCAGCGAGATGTTACAGACGATTACACTCACGATAGGTTCGTTAAACGAAATTCAGATTTCATTTCCGGTGAATCTGAGATGAGAATACAGTTTTCTCTTATTTTTAATTTAAAATATAAATCGCATGTCATGGATAGAGTAACAGGGCAATATTTTTTAGGAGCGTTTATTTATTATTACGCATTTATATACATAGATACTTGTTTACAACGAAGTATTATGAATTATCTTTTTATTCTCAGCGATTATTTTTTACATAAATGACATTTTTGATACGAAAAATTATTTACTCGACTTTTTTAGTTGAGAAACAACGTTCTTTAATATTTTTTAATATTTACAAAATAAATGATATAAGATATTGCAATTTATGGATTACGAATCTAACGTTTTAACAATTCTAATAATGATTGTAGAAACGCAATCATTATGTGATACAAAAAATAACATGATTTTAACTTGGATGCTCACCAGGAGTTCTCTCCTTTTCATATAGACAGCAATTGTCAAAATTTACGAAAGAGAACGAATCTGGCAGCTGCGAACAGAAAGAAACATCCGAAAGTAAGCCTAGGGAAGAAATAGCATTACCGCGAAGGGAGATTTTTCAAAAAGATGAATTAAAGTACGCAACGATTTTGACTTCCGGCCGCGAGCGACGATCGAAGTTCGAGGAGTTGCAGGCCGCCTCGAAGAATCTAGAGAGGCGTTTGCACGAAGACGACGATTACCGTCGACGTCAGGAGATGGACAGACGGATAAACAAGGACAAGCCACCCAGGTACAACATGTTTTCATGTAACTTCCTTCTTACGTTCCTCGCTCTACATTAAATCAATATAATTTCACAATTCTCGTTTGAAAACGCTTGTACGGCGCAGTAATGATGTAGTAATGAATTAATTGACCCGCAGTAATGAGTTAATTAACCCGCAGTCAGTGTAAACGTGCGATTCGTTGTGTTTAGATACGAGGACTTGGAAGGAATACCACACGACCTCGACAAACGTTATCACGGCGAACAGAGAACTTTAGAACAGCAACAACAGCACCCAATAATGCGAAGCAAATACGAGAGCGACATGGAAAGAGCTAGAAATATTCTTCAGCATAATCTGAGAAAAGAGCGAACTGGTAACGAGAAACTCGAGAAATTACCAAAAGCAACGCAGACGAATCTACCACCACCCCTGAGCGCCATTTGTCAGAGTCCAGTACCGAAACCTATCAGCGTCCGGCAGGACAGTAACGTTTCCTCAGATAGTTTCAGTCAAACCAGCTCACCTAGCTACACCAGCAAGACAATGGAAGCGCCTCTTCTGCCTCACAAGCACGGAAAAGTCCCAGGTATGTTCGAACTTCGCCAAAGCTTACCGGTTGTGTTATTGTTAGCGAAGAACTAACAGAAGCACTAGAAAAAAAATCGTTGAATACGATTTCCACTTTACATACAAAAAAGGATTTAAATATTCTAGATATGATGAAGTTACATCGATTTTTACGATTTTATATAATAAGATAATTTTCACGAATGAAAACAAAGATCCTATTTTCGATCTTAGAATTCTAAAGCATAAATTTCCAATCTTACTTGATTTAATAAGCAATTTTGTGAGTTCCATAAATCAATCTTTTTGTAATTTTTGAAGAAACTTTCTAATTTGACCGATTCTACATTTTTCAAGAATTATTTGTTCACAAAAGATCTTTTTGATAGAATTTTTTGTTTACTGACATGCTTAATGACATCGTCACCTTTTCTGCGACAAGGAGTTTTAGGAGTTGTTCTTTAAATCTTCGCTTTTCAAGATAGATATAACATAAAGCTCCCTTTCTCTTACTTTGCGATAATACTTCGCATAGTTCTTTGCAATATTCAACGCAGTTCAGCACGATTACAGTTAGCAAACTATATCTTTGGGGAATTTCAATAAAATTCTATAATATAAATTGTGGTAATATTAAAATGGGAACATAATATTTATAATATCTATCAGTTTATCCATGAAAATTAAATCCGATTATAAAGGACTAAAATATAAAGAAGACGTGTTTTATGACGTAGCTAACGATAACGGGGATACATCTCACAAAGTAAAATTTCTTCTTTATATTCCATCTCTGTAGCGAAGCTCAAGGCATTTTCTTGAGAACGACAAATAAATGTCGAGGCAAAGCGCGACAGCTGAGACGAGAAGGAAAGCTTTTTCTGTTCTATCGCGTCGTTTTGTTTTCTTTTTTCTTTCTCGTCGCTATGTTACCATTAAAACAGTTTATCCGAGAGGAATAAGAAATAAAAATTTTCTCATCGCGAAATTCATCCGTAGAAAGCTTCATTTCGTGTACTCTTCGTTTTTCTTCTTGATTTGTATCTTAAAATTTGTATCCAAAAGAGTCGCAACTTATTGATAAATTGACAATAAAGAAATCAGCCTCCTGAACTTCTAGACTTCTGGACTTAGATTGCTTTATAACGCCTTCTAGACAGAGCCTTGGTGTCGGAGCCTGATAACTCATCTGGCAGGCCGATAACAAAGTCTACGAGCACGCCAGCCAGTTTGCAGACCATCGTCAGGATGCATGCCGGGAACAATAGTTCCTTGCATCACAAAGTAAGCGTTTTAATGTAGCGTCACTTTCAACAGCTCAAACGAAGAGATAAATGAGGCACTCGTTATATATGTACTTACATCATTAAATTAGATATTTAACATAAAATATAAAATCACAGATTTAGAGCTTCAAATTCGCACCTGCTGTTTTTTATTTGCTGTGGCAGGTATTTTACAAAAAGCACATATTCTGAATTTTTTATGTTCGATTAGATAATCAGAGATATGACTGGCAGCCACTACGTGACAACGGGAAGACTACGTTTCAGATTTGTGCAGGTTTTGCTTAATGCTGTTGCTCTCTTGGCTATCGCCGGCGGTTTAGCCGCATACTTCAAAAGTAAGTGAAGCATTTCTTTCAATTTAAGTGTAATTGAAATGTTTTTGACACAATATCAAGCATTTTAAATTTGCAATATTAAAATTTAAAAAAATCGAAAATTTCAATAACGTCGAAATACGTGTAGCGTTAAAAATGCGGTTGTTTTTCCGGCAAGGAAAATGGTGCAAGTAAAGTTGAAAAACATCGCGACGCAAATAACCACGCCTGGTATTTAACCGGAATAAACCGAAATAAACTGCTTGTTAAATCCTCCGAACATTTTAATATGCGTGCATATGCAACAACAAGCTCTGCGAGACCAGCGAGACCGAAAGATCAATAGCACCATGAGTTCTTGTAATCCACTTGATTTCAAATACCAACATTATTTCGATAACAAATGAAAGGCTCATAGAACTTTTTTCATGTTTTTAAAATCTTATATCTTTTATTTTTCTGTTAAATGAATATTTCGTGCACAATGAATTTGCACTCGACAAGTTATGTCAATTTCAATGTTAACAAAATAATTACATCATCATTATTTAAAACAGGCATTGAATATCGAAATAATAGCAATTACATATCGTATTTTTATTTTTATAAAATTGTTAATTGAAAACCTTTAATAATACCGATATTGCGGGAAATACTCGTGTATAACTGGAATTTTCATAACATGCGTACATAATTTTTCAATAATATTGGTATTATCCTGATATTACTGTCATTATATTACTGAATGCCAGTATTAATAAATCAGTTAGATTCGTAGCATTCTTGATATACATTTTATGAGAGAAATTATATAGATTTTAGAAATTATAAGAAAGAAATAACATAAATGCAGATAATAATGTGTGTGTGTGTGTGTGTGTGTGTGTGTGTGTGTGTGTGTGTGGGTGAGATATATTAAAGGAAATAACATAAATGCAGATAATAATGTGTGTGTGTGTGTGTGTGTGTGTGTGTGTGTGTGTGTGTGTGTGTGTGAGATTAATTAAAGTATCGTACTGATTCAAGTTTCACATTTATATATATACTTTACTTCCTATAATTTCTCTTTCAAAATTTAAATTGCAATCATATTAGTAAAAGCTTCAATTTTATATATTAATATGGTTTCAGTAATATACTAATAATAACAAATTATAACGATAATAACTCTGTTATATAATGTACCAAAAGATTATGTAGACTGAATACATCACATCGATGTGTTTACCAATCGAATTTTATTTTAATTATTATATAAAATGGAAAAGTATGCAATAGGCATTTTTTATATTTTCAATCCTTGATTTGAAATTAAGTGCAAACCGGACGATAATTATCGTAGTGTTGAGTGCCTCGTGTCTGCAGTTGACACGTTAATAACTACAAAAGTTTGTAACATGCCTTCTGCACTCGCTAGATACTCAGAACATGACTGTTTTCAACACAATGGTATATTGATACTTTTTGAATGTGATACTCGAGCTAATATGACAAAAATTTAATTTATATGCTCAGTGTGATTATGTTTTTTAATCAACAACATTAAAATAAAATACGATGATGATAGGTATGCGGCATCGTTGTTCATGAATACCAATTTTCTTCGTATCAATGTCTATATTCTTTCCTAAATTAGCCTATCCTGAAAACGACTTCAAATTGGAGAATAGAACCATATACACGGCTGTGATCCCAATACCTGAAAGTACGCGTTTCGTAATCGAAGACAAGAATCCGGCTCCGGGAGTGTGTTTACCTATCATCGTAACTTTCTGCCAACAGCACAAGGTACGATTATAAAACTTCTGTTATAAAGATATATTGATTGTCACGCGAATGGACACCAAGATCGAAGTTGTGTCGAATGTAAAATATTTAATAAATTTTAATTCTCTGAACCAATTACATTTTTACGATTGTTGTATTATAAAATATTTGATTATTATGTAAAGTGGTGCTGAAATGTTAGGGTATCAAAGAGAAAGAGAAGGCTTGTTAAATTCTGGAATTCATGCGAATGTATGTTCTCGGAATATTCAACGCATTTTAGCGGCTTGTAGCGGCAGAAAGCTGCTTGTTCACGATGATACGTATTACGTTTTCCTCGAAAGAGGCTTGGCCGCCTTTAAAGAATTTAAAATAATTTTGTACGCGGAATGTGCGCGTAGGCGGCACAAGGGAATTCGCTCCGGTATGCAACATTGTAACCATGCCACTTGCCGCTCTGAGCTGGAATACCGACGAATAAGAGTGACAACGTTACTTTCTTCCTTCTGCGGCTAAATGTCCTTACGGACATTACAAGCACCCGTTGACGGTCGTAATTTCGATGAGTCCGCGCTCCTGAATACATTTTCTACTTACTTCTTCCCCTTTATTTCAATGGCTCGTGCTTGAACAGTGTGTGTTTTAAAATTCATAAGGCACTCACTGTGCAGTCGCGCATTTTGAATTTTTCTGAGAATGTACGTGTCTGATTGTAAGAACGAGATTGAGCAACGATAAAGATCGCGAGAGCGTTGTCATTAAAGAATTTAAGAGGAAAAATTTTGAACGCAGTAACAACCGGGATTCACGTGATCGAATTTTGTTAATCATTAAAAGTTTGATAGCGAACTGAAATTTTAGTATTAGAATTTGATAGCAAAAATATTGGTCTAGATTTTCTTATATTGATTCTAATAAGTTGCTCATAATAAAATGAATTTTAAATATATCAATTTTTATTATCCTATTTGTACTATAATCTCAGATTGTAAATGTGAATTACTTTTTTCATCATTAACATTCTTGCTTGTTTCTTGCACAAAAATATCTTGTTTCATATAAATATATAAATTGCACAAAGTATAGTTTATACTGACGACATAATTTTGAGGCATGAATTTTGATGCGTAATCGCAATTTCTATCGTAGGTTCCGTACAACTATACTGTGTTTCCAAATTATATGGGCAATTTCGGACAGCGGGAGGCTCAGCACGAATTGGAGCTTTACGATGCTGTCGTTGACGTCAGATGTTATGAATTGGCTGCTCTATTCCTTTGTAGTGTTTTCGTACCGAAATGCGGTTCTCGTGGTCGCGTTGTACGTCCTTGTCGTAGTCTCTGCTTTCGTAAGTATAAATTATTTATTACTCTATCTCATTATTTAATTTAAATTTGATTTTATTTTTATTTAATTATTTTGAAGTTATTTTTTTATTTTACAAAATTATTTTAATTAATTTAACGTTAATGCAACATCCAAATGTCTTTCGAATTTTTATGTAATATAAATTACTTGAGATTTAATATTATTAAATTACTTGTTATCAAAATATGGATCGATATGGTGTATTATTAATGCTCGACAAACCATAAATTGCAAGCATAAGCCGCGTAGATGCATTAACAGTAATACTGGTTAATACCCGTGAGCCTTAATAGCATTCGATTTCACTGTTCGACATGTGAATGTATGGTCAAATTATTGTACCGAATTTTGCGCCGCTAAATCGTCAATTTCTTTAAATTTTGAATAACACGAACAGTGCGTGATATTTCGATCTTGACCGCGAGTGATGAATTTTTTCTGAATCAATTTCAGAAACCAAGAGGCGTTGCGGTTTCTTTCTCAAAGTTTTCGGTTTGTCTCTTCCGGATTATTTGGAGTGCGAACTTTTCCCGGAAAATCCGAGTTCCGACGAGTGCATCGGGCACCATGAGGTGATAGAAGCGGCAAGGAGAGCCGAGAAACCGGGTAAGTGACACTAATTTTGACAGTTTTACTTCCAGCTTGCACTATTTTCGCATAGCTTACGAAGTCGATTGCATTTGTTTTATTTTCAACATTTAATTAAATTTTCTATTAGATTATCAATCAAGAATCGATTACAGTCCTTTTATTACGTTAACGCAATGCAAAAAAAGATAAATATATTATTTAATCAACTAACGGAAACGGAAATGAGCTTATCGCGAATAAAAGCAAGTACTTGAATTATCCTGAACTTAATAATTAAAGGATTAAAACATTCTCTTTAGATTGGATGATTCAGAGGATATATACCATAGAAAAATAAGCTTTTCGTACTTTCGTTGATGCTCTAAAGTCTAATGGATTTAAAGAATAGCGAACAGGTCTACCGTTGAGAAAAATATAGTGGTATGTTATTCTTGGTTATTTCGCGCTGCAAAATATTGTTTGTGCTGAAAAATAATTTTTATGTATTGTTATTTTTTTAATAAATAGTAAATTATTTAAAAAATAACTTAATATTCTATTTAAAATTTATTTTAAATTAAGAATAATAAATAATACACATAAACATTTTATATTCAGATAATTCAAATAATTTATATTAATTTTATATTCAGATAATGCTTTATATAAAATTTATCTCGTTCAAAGTGTCAGCGAGATTAAGCAGCGTTTATCATGATGTACCCACACTGAGATTCCATTGCATAATACGGTTTTGTGCATCGTGTGCCTTTGCGCGAAACATTATGGAACGTAATATTATTTATGAGTTTTCTGTCCTTTTGTTTTACGCCGATTTGCGCGCGGACATTAAATATAGGATGCGACCACAAAACGGAACTAATTGTTAACTAACTTGATGTCCATTGTTCATTCTTCCTTTGATATCTTGGACTCTGTTTACGCTCGGTTTTCTCTCTCTTTGTCTTTGCTCTCTCATTTATATTCTCCATATTCTATTGTCATTTTGGCTTTCATGAAATCTCTTGGACCCGATCGATTTGTTCTTCGAAACTTTCCTTTCTGTGGAAATTTAATCTTATTTTGGAGATTTTCGATATTGCAGACTTCGAAAAAAATATTTTTTTATTTAAAAACAGAAATTAAGTCAAAATATACAGATAGTTTAATGTATGTGTATAAGATATGATATAAATGAATTATTTTTGAAATAAAATTTTTTAAATCAAATCAATAATAGAATAATTACATAATTTCTTTTATAATTCAATATAGCACAATAAACGATATAAAAAACTCATCTTTTTGTATCAAATAATAACAATACTACTTGTAGCAATTAATTGTAATGCAGATAGCAAATCATTTATAACAGAGACAGCTTTTAAACAATGTGTCATTTTTCTTTTATTTTTATGAAGTAGTTTAGTTTGTTGGGAATATTATGACACAACTGTTTAAGGAATGATATAACAAGAAGAATATCCTCGAAGTTTTTAAAACGTTATTCACTGAATTTTCAAAATCGTCACGTGCACGTCATATGCATAACGAGTGCGATAACGGCGCTTAAAATCTCGTAGAATAGTTTACGCGAGAGAAGAGAGAAGAGAGAATTAAACGATCACGTACACGCGCGCACTGCAATTTCCAAAGCAAATATTACGTAAATCGCGGCGACAGGCGTGGTGACAGGATTGATCGGAAGTACTCGTCTCTCGTCTCGCGGTGAATTTAATTCGCGATTGGTGGATCGCGCCTGCTGATAGAGAGAAAGAGAGAGAGAGAGAGAGAGAGAGAGAGAGAGAGAGAGAGAGAGAGATATTTATTCGCGTCTACGGTTAATTAAGATTGAATTGCGTTGTAATTACGAAGTTCATTCAATCGAATAAATGCAACACATTTCAATGGTTTCTGGATTTTCGATCTTTCTGCATCTTTCTTTCTATAGCTATATATTTTGCTTCTCGACGATGATAACTTCCGATTTAATTTTCTGATTTTACTAGCTCTCTTTGACCATAATTCTATTAGCGATTTGTGCAACAATATCGTTTGTGCTCGTTTAATAATTATGTCTGTTTAATAATGTTTAATCGAATCGAATTTCCGAAATATGCATTCGTAAATGGATTTAGGTTCTTGAGATTTATTATGACGTGATCTGAAGGTAGCAATATTTATACAATAGGAAACCTTCGTCAAAACATCTTTCTGTTATCCAGTACATCATGTGTACAGTTGAGATACACTGAAGGCAGCACATCTGTGCATGTTGTAATTACAAAAGAGGTTCACCGACATCCTATATGTACGCATACGTGTTCGCACATACGGGGCTATATCGCGATTTTGTATACCCAAGCTATCGCATGTGTCACCGCTGATGGAATCTTAATTGCAAAATCCATATTAAACTATCGTATGACGGCCCATCTGCGGCGCCAAGCAGCTTTATTGAGTCGCGCTTGATGCATGTGTACATATCATGTTTGACGCATATGTGTGAAAGTATCGAACCGCAAATGCAGGATCAATCGTGTCCATCGCAGGAGAAGACATATTGCGAAAGATAGGATGCTACGATAAAGAATGTCGATAATAATATCTCTATGGAACGTTATATATTTTCATAATTTTTAACATAGTCTGCTGATCTCCGAATATTGTTATTTTATATTTTTATGTTCCTTTTTTGGGATAGTGTAATATCTATATATAGTATTTTGTTTATTCTCATTTATAATGTAAGTGATATCAAACGTTTCATCTATAATTAAATTCTTGTTCGATTAATCGTTCTGGGCTATTATTATTTCATATTTAATATACATACAGTAAAAATTTTGATTAACATTTATTAATTAATAAATCAATTAATTAAACAGAGACAAATAATTATATCATTAAAATCAATTAATTAAATAGAGACAAATAATTATATTATTTATTAGAAATTTGTTAATTAAAGTAAATAATGAATTAATTGAGGATATAGGAGTGCAATATACACTGTAAAAAATATAAAAAGTATAAAATTTTACAAAAGGTGAAATATATGTATTTTATAAATCCCTTATAAAATAAATCATTTTATAAATATGATATTTATATTTGTAATTTTATATACTTTTTTTTTATCGTGTAGATACTATATTACATCAATTGCTAGAAAGCATGTGATCTCCATTATGTTCCGATTCGTTTATACAGTGTGCACCAGTGGTTTTCAATGCGATGGCACAAGGTGCATTCCGTTCGATTGGCGATGCGACGGTCATCTTGACTGCTCCGATCATAGCGATGAGATCGGTTGCGGGAATTGTAATTCTACCACATCATCTTCGGAACCGGTGTCTTCCGCGTTTGGCCAAATAGTCTTAAGTAAGGGATCTTCAACTAAAAGTACCCTTTCTACGAAATCTTCGTTACATTGCGGCGAAAGAAGATGCATGTCAGCCAGCCATATCTGCGATGGAGTTATGGATTGTCCTTGGGGGCAGGATGAGCGATATTGTCGTAAGTAAATACATGGAAAAAATAATATTAATAACAATTTATTTAAAAATCTTGTTAATTTTCAATAACAATATTAATGAATAAATAATAATTTATTAGGACAAAAGTATGCCTATTTGTTTCATTAATATTATTATTGAATTGACAAAGTTCTAGTCCAGAATGCGAAAATGTCTATTTTTGGGAATTTTTTTTTAAAGAAAATTGTTGCACATATTCTTGTGCGCTTTTATATATCTACCTGTACTGCTTTAATAAATATCTACAATTTTGGTATGGCTAAAGTTTATTAATTTTTATATTATATTAATTTAGAAAAACAAAGTGTAAAAAACATGTGTCGGATGTTGCAGCCTTTCAACTTATGAAAGGAATAAAATACAAAAAATTTAAAAGGATTTTTAGTTATTATAAGTGTAGTTATCTGAACTTAGATAAGTGAAAAATATTATAAAATGGCGCTGACTTAAAAGACAAATATCGTTTTTTTTTTAGCAAAATTGTTGAATTTAACTCTATGGAAAAACAATTAATTTGTAGCTACTGCACTTATCATAGTATATACATATAATATATAAAAAATGAAAGTTTATCTCTAATTGGCAATACCAGAACCATATAATAAACCCTTCTCTAATTCAAAATGCTCATATTTTTCATTTTCAGTCTTGTTAACAACAGTTTTTAAACGCATTGATGAAGCATCAAACACAAAATGCGTTACAATTTATAAAAATACTTATATCTATTATTTTTACGAGTATCGATAATCTTGTAGAAACTTATTTTTGTGTGGGAAATTTCTAAATATTAAAAAAAAGTATAAAATAACAAAAGTCGATTTTTTTTTAATTCTAGGCTAAAATATCTCTTAACGTATCATTTTTTTTCCGTTTTTTTTAATATTCTGTGATTATATTTTTAATTGATTTAAAATTGGATCCATAATCTCTTTTATACTGTAATAATAAAATGTCGCTAACAGTTTGTAAAAGAAATTTATTATTAGAGATATTATACATATTTTATTACGATTAAAATAAAGTAACTGTTCGTATATGTCTCTTTACGGGTCTTTCTCGAATGACAAAATGTTTTCGCTTATTCTGATACGTTGTCTTGATCAATACATGTACTCAAGTAATATATGAATAAATTAAATATCGCTAATATAATGCCTGAACAATTTAAAATGCCTGATTAATTTAAAAAGAAATGTAAATTAATTTTCGGTTCTAGAGAGTCTAATAGGCGGCTCTCAAATTTTATGTTTCGTACTGTATCTTGTTTTTTAGTGAAATTAAGCCATAGGAACGGGGATGTTGGCGAGGGCCGTCTAGAGGTATATCATGCTGAAATGGGTAAATTTATGCCAGCATGTGTCTCGCACTGGGAACCGACAACTTCGCCGCAAGAGGTTTGCGCTATGCTGGGATATAAGGGAACGTAAGTTATCTCTCTTAATGTGTCAAATAACATGGAACATAAATATTACATGATGATATAAACGTGCTATGTTCGCAATCGCATTAAATCGCATATTTTTATGCGTTGCAACAATTTCATAAATCCTCAATTGTTCATTCAAACAATTTGTACTTTGAAAGAGATACATTGAGAGACACTTATGTACATAATTAATTTTAGCTTATTAATTTTACGTCTGATGATATCGATGTCACCTTGTTCAATAAAAAAATACAAAAAAATTGTTAAAATAACACTTCTGATTGCATTTTCAGAGTGTCAAACGGAACTAAGCTGATGAATGACTCATTATCAATTGTATTGAGTTCTGAGTATCGTAACAAAAATTTGCTGAAGCAATTTCAAGGATGCATCAAGGATCGAGAGCCTTATCCCATGGTCAAACTTACTTGCGTCGATTATGGTGAATTATCGGAAAATTGTATAAAGATCGTTGAATTAAAATTTTCTACAGTTCTCCGGGCTTTCTTTACGACGTGCGATGATCGATTCTGTTGCAGCTTGCGGCCGTAGACGTTCTGTATACGGAAACGTGAGGGTGAAGCGAATAGTGGGTGGTGTGGAGTCAGCTCCTGGTGATTGGCCATTTCTTGCAGCCCTTCTTGGCGGTCCAGAACAGATCTTCTACTGTGCCGGAGTCCTTATTGCTGATCAATGGGTGCTGACCGCATCTCATTGCGTCGGGAAGTAAGTATTGTGTATAAAATCGAGAAAATGCAAAAAATGTTACTTTTAATTATTGACGAATTCTTTACGTATATAAGGAAAATATTATTAAAAGAGAAAGGAAAATATTATTAAATTCTTTATTTATTATATATTGATATTATTACGTATATTAATAAGAACTAACAGAAATTTTTAAATACATGAATTAATTCTCTATATATCGATGGTTTTAGTCATTCAGAGGTGTCCGGTTGGACGATACAGCTTGGCATTACTAGAAGACTTTCCCATACTTATCTCGGTCAAAAACTGAAAGTGAAAAGAGTCATACCTCACCCATATTACAACTTGGGTGTTGCTCACGACAATGATGTCGCTTTGTTTCAAGTAAATATATTTTCAAATTTATTACTTAAATTACGTAAATATATATATATATATATAAATTTACGTAAAAATATTAGTCAATATCTAATTTTAACTGAGTATTTTTATTAAGTCCTTTGTTTATTTAAGTATTTGTATTATTCAATTATTATGGGTAGTTGGGCAATTTGATAAATGACTTTTTAAAAGGAGATTGAAAAATAAGTCGAATTTTAGTAAAAAAAAAAAAAAAAAAAAAAAAGTTAAAAAAAATCTATACTATAAAATCATTTTTTATTCTAATTTGAATACTGTTTCAAATTTAGTACTTTTTCATACAATATCCTATATTAATTGCAGCTTGAGAAGCGAGTTCAGTATCATGAACATTTGAGACCGGTGTGCTTACCGACTGCTGACACTAATCTTACACCCGATACAAATTGTACTGTTATTGGATGGGGCAAGAAAAATGATACCGATTGTAAGTATCATATCAAAAAATATTTCTTTCAAAATATTTACTTGCAATATTAATTTATAATATACTCAAATCAATAATCGAGTACTTAACAATTTAATGTAACATGATATAACAATCGTTGAAATATAAACTTCGAAAGAACATGTAAGCTTTTTTCTTATCTTCAATAACTGAGGACAGAGTATGAATAAGAAATAATAAGTTTTCAATTTGTATAGTTCATTCAAATGTTAAATTGTTATAAATAATGAACTTGATTCAGAAAGAAAATATTTGTGAATTAATTTCAATTATTATCTCGTCGATTACTTTCAGCCTCTGAATATGAGCCAGCCGTAAACGAGGTTGTAGTTCCTATTCTGCCTCGACACCTCTGCAATTCATGGTTAGCGCATAAAGAATTGAATGTCACCGATGGAATGATCTGCGCTGGCTATGCGGATGGAGGAAAAGATGCATGCCAAGTAAATTATTTAAAATCTAAATAATTAAAACATTTATGTATTCTCCGTAAAAATATTACGTATATATTGCGAATCGAGAATCATTTTCAATGTGATTTATAAAACTACAATATACGTTATTATTCAAATTTATTATTCAAACTGCTCAAACTATTATTATATTAATTTTTGGATATATCTTAAATATCATATTTGTAAAATATCATTAAAATATTTAAATATCGCATTTAATAACTTTTGTATATGTCACGTTATTTGCTATTATAATTGTCAAATAAATATGACAATAATTATGAATTATTCATTTTTTCAAGGGCGATTCTGGAGGACCTCTGTTATGTCAAGATAAGGAAGATAAAGATAGATGGTTTGTTGGCGGAATTGTTAGCTGGGGCATAAAATGCGCTCATCCAAAACTGCCTGGAGTCTACGCTTACGTGCCCAAATACGTAACGTGGATCCAAAAAGAAATGTCTAAGTACTCCGAGTATAACAGTAGAAGTAATGGAAAAATGTAAGGCTTCGAGTCGGACAAAATATTTAATGTAAAAATCGGCAATATAGAAACAAATCAAGCAGAAATGAAGGAAAAATGTAAGATAAAGTAAACGCGGATTTCCGCGTTTTCATGATATATATATATATTGAAAGAAAAAGATACTGGAACTGAAATTATGGGTTCCCGATCTGCTAATTTGCGCTCAGCGATTTCTGTACGCTCAATCAAAGGATAGTATTTTGTATACATCTTGCAACAACTTTGAATGAAGAAAAGAGAGCTAAGTATTAACAGATCGTTAATCTCATTCTTTGGGATTAATAAGCATAGATAAACAGTATAAGTTGATAAAAATCACTGATAATCATGAACATTAGCTAAGCTAAGGGATGCTGGACGGATACCAACATAATGGAATTTTTCCTCGAGTTATAAGAATAATTCAATTAAGTCTACCAATTGCAGCAGGTCACAGTAGCAGGTAAACTATTTTCTCACATTGTAGACAGATAATTATAGAAAAATCGGATTTTATTAATATGTTTAAATACTGATGTTTGCTACCACAATTCTCAGTCATAGCTCTCGTCCAATTAATACGAAATTTCACCACTTTGCGATTTTTCGTAAAAAGATTTTATGATAAGCCATTCGAACAAGGGAAATGTAAGATAATCGGAAACATATAGGATACACTAATTTATAAATGAAGCTATTATATAGATACAGGATATTTACGTACCTATATATAAGTTCAAGTAACAAGCCATTTTCTAGGAAACTACTAGATAAAAGAAAGGATAAAAAATGCCGATGTATGTACTTTTGGTACCTACTGAAATAGTAAAAAAAATTGAAGATTTGTGCACAAAACAAAAATCGACGCATGTGATGCGACAAAAAATATTTTGTATCGCTGCCGACTTTAAGACAGCCATGTATGAGCCACCAAGTGGTAACTTTTAATCTATATAGGGTGTGCGTTTAACGGCATTCAATGATATGAGTCGTTTCAGTGGTATAAGCGGTCTATTATACTTGCTTTACGAGTCTCAATTTAAAACCTTTTCTTTTTCAATTATCGAAATGTAATGATTTTCGTTGGAATTAAGAAAATATAATAAAGCAATTATATTCTTATTAAATATCTTTCAGAAATCCTTTTATTTTTTAAAATGCGAATTATTTGGCTTAACTTACTGCTATTCTATCTCAAACGACTTATAGATTTGTATGGCAATCATAGGAAATCTGTGATTTACGAACAATCCTCATATAGGGGAGGATTATATTCTTTTGAAATAGCTTTTTTGTTGATATATCGCACATTTATATTTGAAAAGAGAAGCTAAACGCTTTTCGATGGTTTGTGATATACACAGTACTACATGGATATCTACACAGAGATAATATTATCAGAAGTTATATAATTTAGTATGTACTATTAAGATGAAGAAAATGTATATGCTAACGAAATCACATTATATATATACATATAATCGATAAACTGTATTTTTGTATAAAAGAACGAGTTAAGCGCACACCCCTTACGGGTAAAATGTCGTACACGTTTTGCATGAAATGCATTACTGTACCATCGCGCGAATATTTTAAATAATGCGCATACGAAGTGACAATATATCCTAAGAAACAAAGAAAATGTCTATGTGCTTATCGATGTAAATGCGATGTAGTCAGTTATCTATTATAATAATCACGTTCGTTTTAAGAGCGCGTGTAAGGCACCCAAAACTATATAGTTGCACGTATAAACATATAGACATAACAGAGACATTATTGCATACTATACCTTTTCATTAGGACCATGGCACATAAAAAACTTAAGCAATAAAATCTATAAGCAGTAAGCGAATTGGCCAAAGACCGTAAGATCGTAATAATATAAGCAGTTGTTAATCCAACATGTTGATTTTCTTTATGTTTTACTACTTAAGTTTTTTTTATGTGCCATGGCCTTTGGACATAAATTTTTATTGGACATCATAAATTATGCGATTTAACACCACGATTCATATTTACGCATATGTATGTTCGAGACAGATATAGTATTACGGGAATGCTGATGTACATACGAATTGAATGAAGATGGAAGAACTGCCATGACGAATCGTAGCATGCATTTTTATCGTATATCTCACTGCAAACGTTACTCAATGAGAAATAACGTCGCAGTCTAAACTCAATTATTGGCGTAATTTCGTCTGTCAGATTCATCGTTTTGCAACACTTATTTCACTGAAAAGTATGGTATGCAAGAAGTCTCGATGATAGGCTGAGCTAATGAAAAATTAACAATTTAAATAAAAGTAAATTTAAATAAGTATGTCTTATTTAAATTGTCATTGCTATTATTACTTGTATCATGTATAGATTTTAATATTTGTTATGAATATTTGAGATATTTTTAATTCATTGTTATGATAGAAATCTTTTCTGTATACGAAGAATATATTTAGGATTTTCTATTACGATATTCGTAAAACTTACGAAATTTTTGAATAAAATGAACAAGGTATACGTTGAATATTTTAATATTACGATAGTGCGTACACCTATCTATTTTAAATTGATTACTATTGTCATTTTTTGTGAAAAGGATAATTAGGAGTAAAAAAACTTAACATTGTATACTCTTGCTCAGCCTGCCGTATTCTAATTGAAATATTCGTACGTGCATCAGGTATAAGCAAATTGTACGTAAGTTGTTATACGTATATAATATGATATAATATAAAGTAATATATAACATGTTACAATATAAAGTACCTAAGCATAGAGGCTTGTAGAAAATAGAATGTTCGTAGGGCTATATATAGACGTAAAAAACATGTTGACTGAATTCTAGGGACAATACTCTGCACCAGCACATTTTTGATCTGCACTATAAAAAAAATCGTTTTTCAATGAGTATATTTTGTATGGGGTATGTTTTTTAGGAGCCTTACTAATTGACTTATACGTTTTCTAAGCAGTAAGATGAACAGTATTGTTGGCCACAATGATAATTGATATTTAGCTCGATTTATTTGCAAGCCGTTTTTATTTACTTGCTTATTTTATTTAGAACGTGATTCCTGCTCTATTTCTTTTTCAAACTTTATTCTTGTCATTTATGAATAAAAAAAAAATACAAATTTCTGTCGCGTCTTAATAAAATTATAATGATTAATACTGTAATACATATAAAGCAAATGATATTTAAAAACAATTTTGTTACATAAAAAAAGGATATCTTTGGCATATGAAAAACATTCAATGATAGTAAATTCAATTTTCCAGATTTATCATCTAATTAAGACATCTAAAAATGACTCTTTCTATAAGACAGGAACTTTCAGACAATAAGAAATAACTTGGACAATAACTGTCTTCCTTAGTATCCAGACAACAGTTTAGTTGTAAAATGGATTATATATTTAAATAACCGACAATACTGTGTGAGCAGACAATAAATAGAGTTAGGAAATGTTCCATGATGGACAATAAATTACTTATTAAGGATTACAGTAAACTTAGGGTATACGAAAGTTTAGTTAATAATTATAAGATATAATTATAATATATTCTATTAAGTAGTCTACTAAAATTCTCTGTCATATAATACTACTATATAGTAACTTACTCCAATCAAGAGCTCTATTTATTATTTCATGTAGTTCGAAGAGCATATAACATTTTTTTACACATTCCATTTGTATTATATTATCTATAAAATATTTATGGTACAGACATATATAAAATATATGTATATTAATACATTGCTTTCATACGTTTTGAGAAAAGTTAAGAATTAGACAATCAGAAATAATGGTATATTATTTTTATATCGTCTGTTGTATTTGATTAAATAGATCAATGAGCCTAATATATATTTTTGAGACTTCCACGGATACTTTCTATACAAAAAGCTATACGCGTTTCGCGGATTATCTCTATATTCAAATCCATTATAAGAATATCAACATTTGTGAACATTACAGTTCTAATAATGGATCTAAACTATCTAATGGAGATATTTCGCTAATAAACTATAGCTTCTATGTACAGTTGATGAGCCTTTCATAATTTTCTTTGTTGTATTATCGCGCTAAGTTAAAAGACAGTAACTGCCAAATAAAACTTTTCCTATTTACTATTTCCTATTTCAAATTGATAATTATTATCTTTATTTTATATCTTACTCTGCTTTTTAGAAATTTTGATTCTATAAATAGAATTATATACAATATATATATTGTTGTTAAAATTGTGTATAGAAAATGTTATTTGCTGTTTTATTTTATTATTACATTGTAAGCATTATATTTCTTGGATGTCATGTTACGTTATTAGCATTTTATAGAAACATAAATGTTTCTGAGATCGCAGATCGCGTAAACAGAATATTGTGATGAAGTGTAAAGTCAATGGTTTACATAGATGTATGCATATTATATGTATGCACACCCACACTCACATTCACATCCACACCCTCACCCATACGCACACGCACACACACACACACATATACATATATAGTTAAATAATACAAAGTAAAAGTATAGTCAATATTAAACCTAATGCATTGAAAGGAGAGTTACTGTAAGATTTTATAGGTACATATTATAATATATTTACAGGAAAATAAATTCAATGTAGAAAACTAATTAGGAATTGAATACGAGAAATTAATTTTATTATTTATATATATTGTAGTGCCAAACTAGAGGTAGCAATATAAATTTATTTTTAAAATATTTATTTTATTTTCTAAATAATAATTTAGAATTTAGATTTTTGTAGCGATGTAGAGATTTCGTTATTCCTTCATTAAATGATGTAATATGTTGGTTGCATAAAATTGTTTCTTAAATCTACAAAACTATAAAAGATAATGCGCAAATATTTGTATGAATATATATATAAGAAAGAATGTCTAATTTATTTTATCACAATTTAGTTATTATATAAACACATTTAAATAGAATTTGGACAAAAGGTCTGAAAAATTTTATGTGATAGGATTGTTTAAAATAAAAATGTTCGAGCTTCAAGTTCGGATAGTTCGTATAATTTGAATCAATAATCAAATTGTCTAATCCATTTTCAACATGATGATTTGATCATCAAGTAACCTCTTATTCCTCTCAATTTTTTTTGGCGCATTTAATATAGTTTAAGTGCATTATTAGATGAAATATAAAAAAGAATGAAAAAGAAGAAGAAGGAGAACTGCTCATATACTCTTTTTTGCAAGTTAATGTATGCATAAATAATATTAGCAAAGAAACGTCTAACATTATTTATCACAAAAATGATTACTATTGAAAATGCATTAAGGAATACCCTAAAATAATGTTAGTTTGTAGATTTAGAAATTATTTTAGAGATGAATTTTAAGAATTCATGAATCAAATATTCGTGATCAATTAAAAAACAGTTATAATGTTATTTATGTATGCAGTATAAGATTTATTAGTCCTTCGTAGACCATTTTCAAGAAAATTACATCACCTAATGAAAGTAAATTTGACGTAATGTGCTACAATTATAATTAGCGAGCTTTTCAGTAATCTTTCGTGCTACTCTCGTTTGTTGAAAAGATGTAGTCTCATAAAGAAATCTCTTATGCTTTTGTAATAAGCTCGAGAAAAATGATTCTAAACTTTTGGCAAGTATCTGTTTATATTAAAGATGTAAAGAAATGCTGCGCACAAAATACAAGTGTTTCTCGTTCTTTCGCGCGAAGAAGTATTCTTTTTAAAAAATACTATAAAAATGCATAATTACTCCTGTGAAGTCAATGTTGGATATAATAAGATAGTGTAAGAGATATACGTATCGTATATATGAATCGTCGCAAGATGTTGCACAAAAATTAGCATAATTACAAAGCGCACCTGCGCTTACTTGTATGTAAGTGCATTTGCATTTACAGTTAAGTTTGATTATTTTTAATTGGAATCGGAAACAAAGCGTATGCACATTATTAACAAGAAAACTACTAACTTTTTCAATGTCTAGCGATATGTATGACAAGTATATGTAAATTAGTAA